CACACAAACTCCAAAGCTGCACCGAAAAGCAGTGAACCGCATTATACCAAGTATTGCACAAAACTTTTAAAAACAGCTTCTGATTTCAGATATTATTTAATTTGATTAGATATGAAAACTAAATGGAGAAGTTAAAATGCACCTTATGGAAACTTGTTCTGGGCCTTAGAAAACATGGAATACTTGCCAAGTCAAAGAGGAAGATAAAGAATGCTACTTTTTTAATAGAAAGAAGACAGGCAATAAGTAGGCAGGAGCCCTCACCTTCCTACTTGGCTCCTGGGTCTCGTATTCGCTGTAGTCCTGAACTCCCCAGCGCCGGAGACAGGCAGTCTTCACGAAAATGTGGGACGGGAGTCACTCAATCAGAGCAGGAGTAAGGCTAGACAGCCAGCTCAGTTCAGTGCACAGGGGCAGCTATAGGCTCCTTCTTCCCAATAAGAGCTCCCAAATGCTTTCCCCTTCCCCTTCGAGAAGGATTGTATTTCAAAGAGCTCACTCAATTTCTACTATTCCTGTCATGTATTTAGATGTGACTCATTGAACAAAGCAAAAAGATGACAATGGGGGCTGACCAGATATTGGAATCAAAACACAGACTTCAACAGGGAACAATGCCCAAAATATGGTTGGAGTATAGCATCCAGATAAATGTGTGAGACATTTAACAAACTGTTCTTCCAGAATGAATAAATAACAGTTATGTGAAAGGTCCACATGAATGACAGTGCCAATATGTTTTACATACAAAACTGCAGATTTTAAATGTAAATATCCTTAACATGTTTCCCAAAAATTTATAAAACATAACTACTCAAAAATGATTCTAAGGTTCTATTACTCATTTATTTTAGTATTAAGTTTATTAACAATATCCTAGTGTTTTAAAGACATCATCAACAGACACAACAATGGTTAACTTTGTAAGCTGCTAATTGGTGTTTATTCCTCATGTATGAATCTGTTTAAACAGATTGACAAGGAACAGTATAATAAAGTTCTGGAGCTCATCGAGAGTGGAAAGAAACAAGGAGCCAAACTGGAATGTGGTGGAGGCCCCTGGGGGAACAAAGGCTACTTCGTCCAACCCACAGTTTTCTCTAATGTGACAGATGAGATGCGCATTGCCAAGGAAGAGGTACAAGGTTTCACTCCCTCTGATGCCATTCTGTTTTTTTATTTGTTATATTTTCCTTTTGTTTCCTGCTTCTGTATACTATGTTCTATCCTGTTAAATTCAGCTCTTTGAATGCATTTCTCAGCAAAATTGAAGACTTGGCTTTCTCCTGTTGATAAAAGTTTAAATTATGCAATAAAGACTAAAAATAGTAAGAAATTCGCTGGTTCTACCAAGGATTTCTAGCCAAACACAGCCCAAAGTGCTCAATAATCTTCAGAGATTTCCTTCCCAACTATGAAGGCATAGAAAAGAATCCTGTGCATTGTGACAACATGAATGAATCCTATGACTTTTTCCTAGACAAGAACCATCTTTATATTTCATAATAATATTCATCTTCATCTATATCATTTCATGTTTTCAATGTGCTTGTGGCCCTTGTAGGGTAAAACATTCTAATTTTGTATATTCAAATACAAAGATAAATTATGACTTGCATATGTGTGTGTGCATACACATACACACAAATGTATTTGTATACATATATGCATATGCATATGTGTGTATGTATAGATAGATAGATAGATAGATATGCCTTTCAATATCCCTTTAGCATTTAAACACAATACACAAAATTAGAAAATCTAACATCTGAAAACTCTGATATCAAGACCACATGAAGATTACAGAGAATGTAGGGGGTAAATGTTTATATTTACATTTGTATATGTAATATATGAGTACATAACTATATTGCTTAATACATCACATATTACAGTGAAATATTTGGTGAGCACAAACTAAGTAACAACAAGACAAATGCTATCCAGAGATATGACAAACAACTAAGAGATCTGCATTTAGGATGGGTAAATAATCTGCCTTATACACACAGAGATTTTAATAAAGTAAAGACAGATGTTCCACTTTTGACTATGAAAGTGTTGTTCCCCTACTCAGTAAACAATACTGACAGCTCAGAGGTAATGAATCTTAATCTTTTCAGTCATTTTTTTTCTCCATGTGCATGGTATGACAGAGAATCTGAGGTTATTTTCCTTGCCCTTCAAAATGTCTTCAAACCAAGAGGAAAGTGTACAATCATATTTGCAAACAGATGGAAAAAATAGGAAAAATAAAAATAAAATCCAACGTACATGATAATCAAACATAGTTTCTCCACATCAATTCAGTCAACCAAATGATATTTTTTATTTACTGATAAAATCTTTTCTAATTAGAGTTGCCATTGCATATCTTGATTAATACTAGATAAGGGAAATATCTTCAATCAAG